AGAGAGAGAGAGAGAGAGAGAGAGAGAGAGAGAGAGAGAGAGGGTTACCTGCGTGGTGTGATGGGGATAGCAGCCGTGACAGCTTGTATTGGAACTCGAGTAGTTCTGACGCGTTGGGGGAGGGATCGATTCGATTGGGCTAACTGCCATCTTCGTGTGTTGTGTGTGCTTCTGTGAAATTTCGGTGTGATGCATGTCGAAGTTTGCCTTTATTTTGCAGTTGGTTCATTGCATGAATATCATACTATATAATGTAAATAGTAATACTAAATTACTAATGTAGTACTTTGCCTAAATATAATGTATATAGTTTGCCTTTGTCGAATAAATGTAATAAAATATCGTTCGCTAAGTTACCTGAGTGCATGGGATGATGGGACCACTTGGCTGGTGGGGCCAAAAATGAAGCCCTACACTTATAGAAATCGCTAATCCCCTGGACCCCACAATTATAAAAGCGGGTCCAGTCACCCACTGGAGGGGGTGCTCCATCTATTGGTGTGGAGCATCACCTGCTGAAATGCGGGCAAGAACCCCCCACAATTATTTCTGATCGTTTTCTGACATGGCCCGAACTCAGTCTGTATAAGGGACGCTGGACCCGCTTTCCAGCAGGTGATGCTCCCCACCAATAGATGGAGCACCCCCCCGAGTGCTAGTGGTGTCGGCTCTTACCAGCACCACTAATACTGGCAGGGGGTTTTGTTCAAAAAAAAAAAAAAAAAAGAAAAAGAAAAAATCGCTAATGTGAGAATTCAGGCATCCAGGCCGTCCGTGGTCCAACCGCCCTGACGGTTTGGATCCTCGCGCGATGATCCAGGCCATCTGCCCTGTCAGACGGGCTGGATCATCTTGCGATCTTAAAAGTCTTAAGATCGCATGACGATGTGAACTGTTGGGCCAGCCGATGGTCCGGATCAATTCGCCGGTTGGGAAGAAGGCCTGTATGGGCCTGTAGGTAGTGAAAAAAATCGCTGGGCCTTACGCGCGGTGCCTGTTGGGCATTGGCCCGTTGCAGGGCGGCGGTTGAGATGGTGGCCTTGCCGTACTGGAGTCCAACGGCCCGTTGAGTTGAAGGCCTGGCCATAATTGATAAGCGACCCATCAAGGAACTCCTCTATGGGACACACTACGTTGTACAGAACAGTTTCTTTGTCGTTGTTGTCCACATCGCATATTGCAGGTAGGTAGGCTCAGCCTCCTTTTTCTTTCTTTCTYTCTCTCTCTCTCTCTCTCTCTCTCTCTCTCTCTCTCTCTCTCTCTCTCTCTCTCTCTCTCTCTCTCTCTCTCTCTCTCTCGCTCTTGCTCGCTCGCTCGCTCGCTCGTCCCCCACCTACGCACACGCGTGTGAGAGCGAGAATCCCTGAGCGAACGATATACAATGCGAACTAATACCCTGAACAGCTGTGAGAAGGATGATCTTTAACCTTCAGAACTGCGTTGACTGTCTAACTTGTAGATTATGCATCAGGCTGTCATAGATCTGTCTGTAATTGGAAACAAAGATGCACACAGACTGAGCGAAGTATACTTGTAACGGAAGGCTCAACAGCTTTGCCTGTAACGGCCCGCAGACTAAGGGAATTTTCAATTTTGTTGTTTTGGCTGGCTGTGTTTGTGTCATTCTACAGGGATTTTGTAAGGAGTCAGTCGCCTGCCGCAATGTCAGGCTGCCACGGGGTACACTTGCTGCAGGCGGCGTACACTTGCCGCGGGGTGCACTTGCTGGCTTTGTGAAGTGCAATCTTCATAGATTGTTCAACAGCTGTCGTAGTTTTTTTCCCCGTCTTCCCTGCCCGAAGTAGGTACCGCCGTACAGGTAACCGAACAGTTTCTTTGTCGTTGTTGTCCACAACGCGTATTGCAGGTTGGTAGGCTCAGCCTCCTTTCTCTTTCTTTCTTTCTTTTTTTCTTTCTTTCTTTTTTTCTTCCTTTTTTTTTCCTTTTTTTTCTTTTCTTTTGTTTCCCTTTTGTTTCCCTTTTTTTTCCTCTTTTTTTTTTTTTTTTTTTTTTTCAAAGGCCTACGTGACCTCGCAGGGGAAAGGAATGTTGAGGTGATGGAGGGCAAGGAAGGAAAGGCAGACGAGTTTCAATTTGTCCAATTTTGGCAGCGACCATGGCTCCCAGGGGGGTGTGCATCAGCTGTTTTTTCGCAGCTCTGACTAGTCTTATCTTTTTTTTTTTGTGTGTAAGATTTTCAGGTTATTGTTCGGGGTCTTGTGGCTTAGAAATTTGAGAATTCCAAGGCTCAAAAAAAAATTCCATGTGATTTTTTACGAGTATAGCAGCGTTATCTATGTTCTTCGTTTTCGCAGTTCTGTATTCTCGTCGTTTTTTTTTTTTTTTCTAAGTTTTTTCCTGCCTGCCAGTCCCCCCCTTTTTTTTTTTCCCTTTTACAAATCCTTGTGGTCCTGGCTCCGTATCCATTCCGGGGAGCATCAGTCCGGCTTTCCTCTTCCACCAGCGAGTCATGAATTTATAAAATATTAAAATAATAACCCACTGAGCCTCACTCACAATCTCTTCCGTCTGGCCGCCGGACCCCTGATCAGCATTGAATGGCCCATATTTCAGGAGGATTGACTGTCAGCTTGCCATTTCCATATGCATACCACCTGGATCCCAACCCTACCTTCTTCACCCAAATAAAATGCTCTCGTTCATTATCGCTGTATTTGGGGCAACTTTCAGTCCACATGCAGCGATAATGACCAGGTGTTCTATTCGGGGTGGGTGAAGATGGTCGTCTTTGCCAGGATCTGATCGGAATCCAGATCCCAGCTTGAGTGTCTGTCTCTGGTTCTACAATGCATGTACGATTGTGAGCTTCCTCTTGCTGCCTATTGATATGTTTTCTTTTCAGCCCCCTCCMCCCCCCCCCTTCTCCCCCTCCTCCTCCCCCCCCCACCGCCTGCTTGCTGTTAAAGGTTCTCAAATGCTCTCGTTCATTATCGCTGTATTTGGGGCAACTTCCAGTCCAAATGCAGCGATAACAATTTTCTCTCTGTAAGTGTAGCCGTCGAATCGTTGCCACCCTTTCCTTTCGTAGAGAAGGTTAAAAAATAAAAATTGAAATTGTAAAAATTTAAAATTCAAAATTTAAAACTTCACTTTTTCGACGTCGGCTCTGAGTCCGGGTCACCTGGAATGAGTACTCTGAGATCTTTCACCATCGATATGAAATCTTCATCTCCATAAGATACCCAAACCTTCTCCGTCGTGGGCTTAACTGCCTTCCAGAACTTGACTGTGGGCCTCGCTCCACTCACTACTCAGCATTCTACATGCATTTGGACTCTTTTGGGACCAGGAGCATTCGGATGAGTGCAGCGTTTTCAATGTAGCGAGACTACCTTGTGCTCCAGATACATAATACAGAGTGTTGTGGAGTGCGTCAAGGCCCTATGACACTTCTCAGAAACACGAACTTGCGGCATTGTTCGCCTTCAACCTCCAGCAGGCAAGACCCTTCTGCAGCACACTGACATGTTTCATCCGTCGAGTATGAATCTGACCAGGTTCAGGGTTTAAAGGCCAGTGCATCCAAAATACAGCGTCCGCCGTCAGGGTTAAAGCCTTAAAGAGATGTACTGGCGGTCTAAACCCCCAGCTACTGGCAATAAAAGGGCAGTTTTTTTCGAGGTAGTCTGGGCAGGCAACGGACGTTTGGGACCCCGCCTCCAAAAGTCTGGGGTTGTCCTGGGGTACATCTCCCCATGTATCCGACTGGACCCCCAGCTATATGACCGGGCCCGGCAAAACTTGGGGTTCGCGCCAGGTGTCGCACCCTCCCGATTCTATTCAAAGGGTTCAGGGCACGGCTGTCACGAAGGAGTTTTTTTTTTTTTTTTTTTTTTTTTAAGTTTTTTAGTTTTTTTTTCTTGCAAAGCTCTCTGACGTTCGATCCTCCCGTGCCCTGTTGAAGGTGGCCTGGCTGAGAGTTGTGGTCTTTTTTGGGCTTATGACCATCACCTGACCCCGGATCTGTCCCTTTTTCATGTTGTTCAAAAAAAACAAGTAGTCGTCGACGACGTCGAGGATGCTAAATTGTTAAGGGAATGATGACACATAGATATCATACAAGACAAAGGGCTTCAAAACTGAGTCAAAAGAGAATCGCTCAGAGGTGCAGTATGCATTAAGGTCTGGTCAGAAGGAGCAAGAGATCTGATCATTTGTTCGAGTCCCTAGGGAAGTAAGCATGAAAGCAGTTCTCAGCTGTACTTCATTTCATATCCTTTTTTTTTTTTTTTTTTTTTTTTTTTTTTTTTTTTTTTTTCCCTCTTCTTTTTTTTCTTTTTTTTTTTCTTTTTTTTTTTCTTCTTTTTCTACTTTTTCTTCTTCTTCTTCTTCTTGTCTGTCTGTTTGTCCCCTCCTCCTCCTCGCCCAACGTAGAGCGGTGCCATGTCAGCACGGTCAATTTTTTTTTTTTTTGTTCGTCTTCAGCACGGGTTGCGCTGACGTCTGCCTTCTCTTGTCATTTGGTTATGCAAGACTAGAAGCTGGCACATCAGCAGTTCCCACGTTAGCAACTGGCACATCAACACCTGCCACGTCAGCAGCTGGCACATCAACACCTGCCACGTCAGCAACTAGCACATCAACACCTGCCACGTCAGCAGCTGCCACATCAACAACTGTCATGTCAACAGTTGTCTGTTTGTCTGTTTGTTTGTTTGGTTGTCTGACTGTTTGTCTGTTTGTGTATCTATTTGTGTATGTGTCTGTCTGTCTGTTTGTCTGTTTGTCTGTCTGTTTGTCTGTCTGTCTGTTTTTCTCTCTGTCTGCCTGTCCGTGTATGCGTGTCTGTCTGTATGTATGTCTCTCTTTCTCTCTCTTTGCCTGTCCGTGTATGCGTGTCTGTCGGTCTGTCTGTTTGGTTGTATGTCTGTTTGTCTGTTTGTGTGTCTGTCTGCCCCCTCCTCCTCCTCCTCCTTTACCATATTTTCTTCTTCATATTTCTCCTTTGCCATGTCCGTGTCTGTCGGTCTGTCCCCTCCTCCTCCCCCTTCTTTGCCATTACCGTGTGTGTGTGTGTCTGTTTGTCTGTATGTTTGGCTGTTTGGCTGTTTGGTTGTCTGTCTGTTTGTGTTTCTGTCTGTCTTGTTGGCAGTCTGTATGTCATTGTGCCATATGTTTGTGTGTTTCATGACTATCATATCGAATGCTCTCGTTGTTTGCAATAAGACAAATAATGCTTTGATTATGAATGAGCGGGGCGGNCTATTGGTGGGGACCACCACCTGCTGGAAAGCGGGTCCAGCGACTTTCATTTCATATCCTACCATTCTCAGATGTCCTACTCCTCCGTAAGACCTTTTTTTTTTTTTTTTTTTTTTAAATAAGACTTTTTGGAAACAGCTTTCAAAAGGATAAAGAATTTCGACAGGTTATATTTACATTCCACCAGGGAGCTCGGTCCCGTCATGCTATCAATTGAGAAATCAGTCAGAGAAAAAGAAAAATCGAAGTTAACAACAAAAAAGTCACGAATCGATTGCGGATTTGGGAGATGTCTTCAACCAACCTACTTGGAAGCTTGAATGAACTTCGATTCGTGACTTTTTTGTACTTGATAGCCAAGAATATACTTGGCTAAAGTGAAAGAAGAGATGAGAAATAAGAATGTTCAATGGGGGGAAGAAACACAATAGACAGCAAGAGAGGGCGGACAAATGGGAAGACAGCGAGGCTGACTACAGTGCCACTCTCAAAGTTCATATGAGAAAGGACTTTGACAGGTTATATTTAAAGTTTAAACTGCAAGTCCATATGAGAAAGGACTTCGATAAACATGGGCTTTGGTATTTGAATGCTTGTGATAGCGGTTGTGGATATGAGAAAGCTTCGGTGTACTTGCAGGTGGGATGGATGGTGTCCGTTTCACCAAGGCATTGACGGGTTATATTTAGACTACCTTCTTCCCCCGAACGTAACGCACCCTGAAAATGAATGTATACAAGCTATCTTTCCGGTTTGGAATAGCCATAATCAAGGTGCGTGGTGTTCGGGGGAAGACGGTAGGAAGGAAAACGCATAAGGAGGCGTACGCACAACGCTAGCCTGAATGTTGGCTAGACTCGCACACCGTCAACTGCACAAATTGGATCATAGTCACAGCTGTGCTGACCCATACAGGAATGTGTGCGTGGTTTGAGCGAAGCCCATGTTTACCGTGTCACACAGCGAAACAGATTGTCACTCTACCCACGGTCTCGTCTCTCTGCCGTTCGACATTTGCTTCGTAATGGGGGAAATGATGTTCTGTTTCATCGAATTCGAAACACAGCCTGTGCGGCCTTGATGGGCACGTGTGCGTTTTTATTTTTTTTTCGCTTCTTTGCATGTAATTCCGCCATGGACAGGGAGTTCTGTGACGAGAAGAAATGCGCGGACGGCGTCGTTCAAAATTGCCATAATTTCAAAATGCCATAATTTCAACAACTGGAAACGAAACGAGAAGGTGAATGTATACAAAAACATGGGGGGGAAAGTTGGGAGGAGAGCTTTTCCTTCTCATAAAAAAAAACAAACAAACAGGATTTGTGTTTCTTGTTGTCGTGCGTTACATTATCCCCTCGCAAAGCATCATGTCACTCTTTTCCTTCCCCCCTCCCTCTCCGTCCGCTTTTGCACGTATCTCCCTCCCACATTCCATTGTTCATTC